ACATATTTGCAAAATTCTATTGCGTTTTTTCACAAACCTCGCGCAAACCACCGGTATACTCTAACTTTCACACCAACAAACGTGCTTGAAATTTGTGATTTTCGGAAAGAAAAAAAAATTAATGCAAAAAATAGAAATACGGATTTAAACTTCATGACCTTTGCTTCAAAACAGTGTAAAGTTTTTGATCGCATGAATTACTGTAGAGATGACAATTAAAATTTTATTCACGTTAGTTAAATTATCAGCCCCGCTGATTTTCATAATCATTTGACGCTAAAACAAACACAATGTTCACAAAATATTAATAGTAGGAAAATAGAAGTCAAGAGCTTTCTAAACATATATAGATTGTATGGTTTCTTGTAATAGTTATTCCGATTATAGGTGTTGACATTTTTCATGCAAAAAACTATCCTGCTACCTTAAGCCTTACAGTCAAATAGACGCACACAACGAAATACGTATCAACTCTCGTCTTTAGTCGGTCAGTCGAGTACTCTATAAAACACAGCGCTCCGGGGAAAAGTCCTCAAGTCTATCTCAAGGCTGACTCAAGACTGCGTCTTTCGTGGTGTTCTCGCCAAGACCAACTAAAACTCCTTTATTCACTTTCAAAACCTTGACCAATTACAAAGTAGTTTAAAGACTCTAAAGCATGGCCTTCACACATTCAACTTGCACATAGCCAATCAAACTAAGTACTGGACACGTCATATCTTTTGATTAATCGTTCACTATAGTATTGACTGCGAATACCCAACTGTCAGAAATAGTAGTCCGGAGAGCGACGGTTATATCGTAATTAGTGAGTCAAGTTCCGTCCAGGACCTCGCGTGAGCCTAAATGATGACAGATATAACACAGCCATTCACTAGTAACCAGCTTAATAAGTCGGACAACAGATACGCGAAAACTAAATCATGACAGTGCCAATAAAATGGTAATTGGATATGTTGTTGAATTTCCTGAATATTAACATGTCATGGCTCGATATATCTGAGCCATAATGATGCATGTGTATCATACAAAGTTATATGTGTATTATGTGTGGCAGCTTTTTTTTGGCAACGAGATTTCCGGTTCTGACAAAATAACGTTCTCTCATATTTTCATTTTATTAATTAATTTCGTTATGTATTTACTTTATAATTACATTGTTGTCATGTACTAGCCAATTTTGGGAAAGCTGTATATAATTGTATAATTTTATACTATAGATAGATCATTTCTTGGAGTATCAATAGAGGAAGAACATGATGTGTGCAAACAAAACAGGCAAGCTTGGCAGAGTTTAGAAGAGGAAAGAGAACGTAATCCAGACTCCCCATTGGAAGCATCCTCTTCAAAAACTGAACCAGATTCGCCAAAATACGTGAAATTTGAATGTGTTAAGCACGCCTTACAGTGGTTATCATGTGGCAAAGATTCTCATATGCCAAACCCGAGATCAGAGGATCCAACACCACCGCAAAGTATCATGGAAGCAGACCATGTACAGGTTCTGGTCACCGGAAGTCTATATTTAATTGGCTGTGTTATCCACGTTCTTGATCTTGATGTTATTACAAAGGGGATTAAGCATGATGCACATGCTTGTTAAGCTCCACTGTTTACTAAGTTACTGAATAATAATATTTTAAAACAGCAATTCATCTTTGTGATTTCAAAATGATTCTACACTTCCTAATAGCATATCACCATATTATATAAGCAAATCGTGTCTGTGCATTGTCAATCATTGGTTGTTCCGAGTGAACAGCCATTGTAATCGTATTTATTTTTCGTGTGTAATATATTGTGCGTGGGGTTTCTCTTGAACAGTTTTGGGTATTTAGGTATATGATACGAATTTTTAGTAGAGGACTGAGGTTCTTTTGCATTCGTGCATCATACTGGTATCGATAAGTAGGTAAGACCTGGAGGCATTGTTTTATTTACAAAAATATGCAGAATGTGTAGATTTTATGTTACAGAAATAGTGGGTAGATTGTGTAGTTAATTGGAAATTGCTTTAAGGTATCACTCAGATAATAATGTGCTCAAGAATGATGGGTAATGTAATTCAATTGTAATTAAATATGATTGTAATTTTGTGGTGAAAGTTAAATGGATTTTTATATTAGACGTTGGTGACAGTGTGTGGCTGGAAAGTAAGTGCCAATGAGACGTTTCCTGATCGCAACTTACTGTGAAGTCGCCGGGCCAATAAACGATCCAACAGCACATTTAGAGACAAAAATTATTGATATAGGCTTATATCAATGAAATTACATGGTATAACGACTCAATGCAGTGATGATATGTTGAAACGACTATCAGGATGGTTCATTTACATTTTGAATATATTGTTATTTCAAAAAGACATTTTCTGTGTTCACAGATTGAAACAACGTCATATATTTGGCAGCGATTCGCAATACAAAACATGATTTTTACATAAGCATATAACCTTAAACAGTCAGAACTACTTCCAGCTTCCCGTAGTTCTTCCGGTCAGATTAAATTAAGTGAGTTGATATATGAAAAGATGAATTCGAGTATTCTATAATAGAACATTGTAATTTGTAATTAGTTATACGGTATATGAGGTATAATTTTAATTTTGCTGATATGCAACAATAAAATTTACTAGCATAATGAATAGTTTGAATAGTTTATTTCAATAAAATATCTTTGGATTTCATGGTTGATGTTTAAATAAATTTACAAATGTAGATTATTTAATGTTGGCTTATGTGTTTGATTGTCAATTTCTTTTATATGATACGTTATAATATTTGATTATCATTGAATTTTTCCTTGGTATTATTATAAATTGTAATTTATTATCATATCGACTAAGATTTATCATGTACTAACATGCTGCATTTGCATGACACATAACAGTATTCATTGGACGAAAAGTCAAATTACAGACTTTAGAATTAGTATTCTTATATTTGTTCAGTGGGATAATTATCAAATTGATGTTGCCCTGCAACGCGATCAAAGATGCGCCTCCATTGAAATCAACGCCACTCGCTCTGCTTTCTTCCTGGTATTTCGTTACGCCTACTATTGCTTTTCTCTGTGATCAGATAACTCGAATGTCGAGAAGACATTATAAGTTCTAAAGGTTGAAAAACATTCAAACACAGCATTACTAAACCTAAATACAGTATGATAATTGTAGAGCATATCCAGCCATACATAGGTGGGTAGGGAGGTGCCTCTGAGTGCTCAAAAGTGTGATCATTTTTATACCTGAATAGTGGCGAAATCTATACCTATACTCATACCAAAGTACTATTTCTGTCATCACTGTTTATTCCAAATAAAACAGCTACCGTATTTGGTTCATTAGAAGATCATATCCAATAGAAGCACATGTGAGCCAACAGTCGCATTGTATATTGATTTATTTAAGTATGTATTTTGACCATAGAAACACCTCTGTCCTCATATAAGGACACATAAGTATACAAAATAGAAAAAAATATTACAGATATTTATACCTATTTTGATCAGAAATAAGACAGATACTTATACCTAAAATCCAAAAAAACGACAACCATTTCAGGGGCACGTGCCCATTAGGAAAGTTCTATGTACCCCCCCCCCCCCCCGCCGGTACGGATTGATTAAACAACAAAATATATCAAACGAATTGATTAGCCTTGATTAATCTTTTCTAGTAATGGTTAAACAGGAAAAGTAAAGATCCTAGAAAGTTTGTGTTTAATGTATATGTGTTGTAATCTACGCCACTCTGTGGTATCGGGTTTGTTAGCACACGAACGTGTTGATTAACAGCGATAAAACCAGTTTTCGAGTAAACTGCACGAGAGTGTTAGCCCGAATAGATTTTACAGAACTGTGGTTTTATGTCTGTTGTACACCTCTATGTTGCGTTGTTATTGTTCTAGGTATGCCTTTCATTTGCTGTAACTGGCACTTTTCATTTGAATCGGCAATTTTTTGTGACTTATGTTCCTATGTGTATAATAATACTCAGAAGAGTAATACAAATGAATTTATAACATGTGAGCTACGTCTAGTTTTCCGCTGGGTTTTGTTAATTGTGGGAGATCGCGCTGTGTATATGTTATTGTTGTGTGTATGTTGTATTGCGAGTTAGTACACGTTTTAGTTTAGTTTATATGTTTATAATCAAATATCTTTCTTAAATCATGTCATAATCGTTTATGATAATTAACATTATTATTTAAATTATATTTGGAATGATGATGAACTTGCAAATATTTCTTTTGGAAAATGCTTTTGTACAATATGCACATTGGCATTTGGGGCATTCTGTTTGCATTCATGTCGAGGTAGAATTACTAGAGTCATCTCATTGGTGGTGCACGTGTTCAGTAGCGATTTGATGGCCGCATTGCGCCTTAAATTTCGTTTGACAGCAGTGTGCAACCTATGTTGAATGTTCGTGTAATCAATCCGGTATCAATCCTAGCGATTGCTGTATTGATAAGCTATTTATTTATATTTCTTAAATAGTGGTTTACCGTATATATCGTATGGCTGTCTCCCCATATTTGAGGCAAAATGACGGGCGAGCACATGGTCGCCACGTGGCATGTCTGTTATTAAATTCCACTATCTTCTAGATATTACGAGTCATTGTCGTACATTTCTTTATATAATTACTGTATTCTCAAATTCTGTATTCTGTATTCTCGAATTGTTTATATTATATTTTCGTCCAACATTTTGACATGTTGCGTAGTTACGTTGCTCATTCTATGTTATGCAATTTATAAGAGAGTGTGTCTATTTTATTGGAATTGGTTGTAGTGAATGTAATTGGATGCATTGGTTAGAGATGCAGTTTACCTGACAAGTATTTTAATTAGTTAATTATTATGGACAATTTTAGTTTGAAAAATACACAAAAATGTGCTTGTTTGGTCAAAAGTGATTTTAAACAAATTAGCTCGTGAACCATGCTTCTGTTTCCTCTCAAAATTGGTTTATAGGTACATCTGTTTACTACGAAGAAAGCGCCGTCTTAAAAACTGTCTACGAGTTGTCAATTTTGCAGGGCAACAGCCCAAATTTCACTACTTCAAGTTTATGCATAAATTAACACCAAGGCTAGTTGTCTGTACGATTGTTGTCTGTTCAATCAAAAACAATGCACCGGCGGCGTTTTGAAGATAAACACATTGCCAATCATTTGTGAAAATTTCAAAACAAAAGGTCAAAGCGTCTGAGATGTACACTAAAAAGAAGCTGAGATAATTGCTAATTTGCATAACAATTCACTCAGTAAGAAGTTTGCTGATGCTCATAATTAAAATGGCTGTAACAGTTCCAAATATAAATGTATTATCGTTTTGTTTAAAGTTAAAAATATAGTGCATAATATGGAAATCCCGTCATTTCTTTTATTCACCATGTTTCTTTTTTATTATTTATGTACGGCCTTGCTAAATCGTGCTAAGCATTCAAAAGAGAGAATGTTTGCACCTGTTATCTATATTTTAAAATCGTTTTTTGAGTATGTTCCACTATTCACAATTCTACAAAATTTTAACAGTCTATAGCCAAGACTGTTAGGATAATAAATCGTTATTAATCGTTATTTATTTGAAGTACCCATTTGAGAACCCCTGTGCTCAAATGACTGTTTTATATAATATTGGTTTGTGGAATTCACAAATTGTTTTCTTTGCATTCTTATGTGTTGTATTCAGTATATTGTATAAGATGCTGGAAAAGTGAATTTATAATATATCAGGTTATATATATATATATATATATATTGTGCGTTGTTCAATATTCATTTTTTCAAAGCAGCATTGAAAAAAACAATCGCCTTTTCTTGCAGTGACGCTCATGGCTTATCCTGTCGATGTTGGAAGTGTAGCTTCTGGAACAATTTCCGCAGGTCAGACGTACACCACAATGATTTGAAATTCTTTCTTTTCAAACACGCCTCCAAACGAGGAAATTCGCTGTGGTTTCTCAAGAGAGCGACCAAAACGAATCTCGCCAAAAAAACAGCCGAAACAACACAGTGCAAAGGCCTAACACGAAATACGCATGCAGAGGAAAATTCCCTGAGATGATAACCACAAGCGGCGGTCAAAACGACCCTGGCAATGCACGGGAAAAATTAGGAAAATTCGCGAGGCGTGCAACGGGGGAATGACGCAATCTTGGCGGCCACGCACAAAAAACTACACAGGACGGGAAAAAGCGCTCTCACTGCCCACAAAAAAGCTACAATGATGTAAATCACAAAGTGTTGACGCAATAAAAGTTCACGTGATAATAGTTCAACGTTCGAATGCAATCAAAAGATGCTTCGGGGTCCCTTTCCGAATAGTGATATATATATATATATATATATATATATATATTGCCGAAAACGGAAAGTCTTTATCGCGGTTTTATTTATTTTAAGTTACGGCTGAGTACTACATTGTGAGACTTTCCAAATATGCTATTTCTATATCTAATATCATTTGGGGGACATCCGTTGAAGAAATCCGAGGCTGAACGGAGCCGCTTACAACATACTTTTGATGTTATGTCGCAGTGTATGTTTCAAGTGTCGGATTTCCAACCCAGACCCCATCATAGACCGAATGTGAA